TTGTTTGGACTTGTCCCTGTTCAGGAGCATCTGTCTCCTTCCCTTCTCCCTTGTGCTGCTCACGGATTTCTTTGTGTTTTTTACAGAGAAGTTTTCAAAGCCAAACATCGTCAGACGGGCAAAAAAGTGGCACTGAAGAAAGTGTTGATGGAAAATGAGAAGGAGGGGGTAAGTGTGAGAGGGTGGGGGGCTGTGTTTGGGCAGGCTGGGATTGGGGGGGTTCATAGGTCAAAGCTGATCTTCAGGGTGGCAGAGATGCATTTTCACTCTGTTTTTTAACAATTCTTACTGTTATCAGGTGCCAGATCTTGAACCTGTAAGGGTGTGGGCAGGATCCCACCCCTGTGGCCTTTTTCCTCTCTTGCTGACAAGGTGATAATGTTGGGTCTTGTGGTTGTCCTGCCAAAGCATACAGCCTGTTAGCACCTTCTCAGCTGCGAAGGCAGCAGTGTGGTGACTGGGCTGTGTGGGGTGGCTGCTGGGAGGTGACGCTGCCCACACCTGGGTGGTGACACTACCCTCCTGTGCAAAACCCCATCACCCCGGGCACAGGGCTCCACACTGGCTGTTGTTCATGGAGGAACTGGGTAAAGTGTGAAAGGCAGATGCTCAGGGAAGTGCACAGATGGGACGAACCGAGGAGAGAGTAACAGCATAAGCAGCACAGGCAGCAGCGGGGAGGCTGCTCTGCAGCTCGAGCCAGGCTGTACCCTGTCCTGCTACAAATGTGGAAGGTGAGGAGAGAAGGGAGGGGTGTCTGTGTGCTGGTCACAGCACCACCCAAACACCTCTTATCTCGTGGCAGAATCTCTCTCACCAATGGTGGCCTGCTGGTGAATACATTTTGGCAATCCCAGTGTCAGTGTTCCATTTCAAAGCTCTGAGTGCCCTTCAGTGACTTGTCACAGTGCTGCTCAAGCAGGTCCCCTGCCAAGCTGCTGCAGTCACATCTCTGCTATTCTCTAGGCAGTGGTAGCCTGGTCTCCTGCGCTCCTAATCCCTGTTCTCTCTTTCTCCTTTCCAGTTCCCCATCACAGCCTTGCGAGAGATTAAAATCCTCCAGCTGCTCAAACATGAGAATGTGGTGAACCTCATTGAAATCTGCAGGACCAAAGGTATCTTGCGGGGTCTGTCTGGTGCTGGCTGTCCATTTTCTTTCTGCCCTCCTTTGTCACTGAGCGGGCTGGTGTTTTGTGCTGGGAGTGGGGTCTTCTAGCTGAGCACGGGCCTCTGTTTCTGCCTGTGATGTGAGGTGACTGTACACTCATCTTGGAAAAAAAAGGAGTTAGGATATTGCTGCAGCCTGGCTGGAAAAAGCTGTTGTCAGTCCTGCTGGGATATGTCTGTGCTGTGAATCCTGCCTGTGCTGGAAACCTCCTGTCTGAGAGGCTTTAAATAAACCAGCACTGGAGAGAGTTTGAAGCAGAGGGTTCTCAGCCTGGAGCTGATCTCGTGGCTGTGCACAGCCAGTTCCCTGTCAGGTGCTGGAGCCATCCCTCTCAGTTGCCTTATGATGGTTTGTGGCAGCTCTGAGCTGGTGACACAGCTCCAGCTGGAGAATTGCTCAGTGTCCCTTTCTGTGGGTGACAGTAACCGCTCGTGCTGTGAGGGCTGGGACTCCACATGGGGTGGTTCTGAGCTGTGCAAGCCTCTGCTGTGTGACTGGCGTGCTCAGTGCACCTGGCCTGGTGAAATTGCTTTAAAACATTTGCTAGTTTTTATATATCATTCTTTTATATGGATTTATACTGGGGAAAACAGTTCTGAAAATGATAACTGGTGTTTTATTTCAGTTAAATAAAACCAAAAGTGGCAGGTGTCTGAAGATGATGTTTTTAAAAAAGTCCAGTCAGTGAACTGGTAGAAATCCCTGGCCTAGTACTGGGAACTTGAAGTGACTCCAGTGCTCCACTGCGTGTAGGTTATTGTCTGAACGGGTATGAGTAGAAATACTGACAACAAGTTAATTTTTAATTCATTGTGTGATTAAGCGAGCTGTGATGATTGCGTGCCTGGCATACTTAGGGTAAATATTTTTGTAGACATGTCAGTTGTTTGGGTTTTGCTTGAATTCCAGTTTTCATCCAAATCCACCTTGACCTCAGTTTCCAGTGAAGTAGAAATGTTGCATTTACTGTTCTCAAACTTGAAGCTTTTAGTTTTTACGTTGGAAAGGTGTGGGAAGGGCTGTATCCACGTACAGAACTCCACACACCTAGTCTAGCAAGCAGCCTCCTGGCTGGCAGAGGAGAGCGGTGTGTTTCCGCGGGGGCTGAGCTTAGCTGTCATTTTCTGGTTGGAGTTGCTCTGACAACTGATGAAAATCAGCCTTTCTTTTTAATAATGTTTTGCATGTGTGCTCGAGGAACAAGATTGAGATCGATTGCTTCATTTGAGGTTTTCTGTTGACTTCAAATTGCAGTTGGAGTTGGAGTTTTAAAACCGTTTTGATTCAGATCAGTCTGTTTTCGTATATACTGTTTGAGGTTGCCGAAAAGCTCACTTTCTAATGTTATATTAGACAGATTTTCTCTAGTTCTGCATTTTTCCTGGGGCTGTCTTTGTGGGTGCCTCCTCTTATCGCTGATGCAATCAGTGATAGTGCTGGCTGGCAGCTAGCAGCGTGTGCACCTACCGACCACAGCTGGCAGGGAGGGAACCCCGCAGCCGTTAGGTGCACGGAGCAGCACAAAAGGAAGCTTTCAAAGATTTTCCTGCCTTTTCCTTACCTGCCTGATGACATTCACTCCTCTGATCCTCATCCCCTGTTCTTCTGTTGCTAATTGTGTTGTCTTAGTGCCTCTTTGTGAAGGATCTTGAGGCCTGCAAGGTCTCTGTGTCCCTGTGCCCTGAGGTTTTGTCCAGTGAGCATTATACGAGCAGCAGGGTGGCTGAAGGTCAGGAGGAGCTGTGACAGGGCTAAGGGTCCCTCCTTGTCTCTCCTGTAGCCTCTCCATACAACCGCTGCAAGGGCAGCATCTACCTCGTGTTTGACTTCTGCGAGCATGACCTGGCTGGCCTTCTCAGCAATGCTCACGTCAAGTTCACACTCTCAGAGATCAAGAAAGTTATGCAGATGCTATTGAATGGACTTTACTACATCCACAGGAACAAGGTAACGGGCTGGATTTGTGCTGTGCTCTGAGGTCACCCTGCTCTCTGTGGCCTTGCAAGGAGCAAGTGTCTTAGCACAGGCTGGAGGGAAATCCTTCCTTGTCCTTGATCTCCAGAGTCTGAGTGTCCTGCTGGCACCAGGCGCTGCAGGAAGATACATTAATGGCTTAACCTTTCCCTGTCTGTCCTTGTGTAGATCTTGCATCGAGACATGAAAGCTGCGAACGTCCTGATCACACGGGATGGAGTCCTGAAGCTTGCGGACTTTGGGCTGGCTCGAGCTTTCAGCCTGGCTAAGAACAGCCAGCCGAACCGCTACACCAACCGGGTGGTGACTCTGTGGTATCGGCCACCAGAGCTGCTCCTAGGTAGGAGGTGGTGGGCTCTGCCGGCTTCTCTGTCCTTCTTACGGCCCCGGGTGACTAACACAGCATCTCCGTTTAGGGGAGCGGGACTACGGTCCCCCCATTGACCTCTGGGGTGCAGGCTGCATCATGGCAGAGATGTGGACCCGCAGCCCCATCATGCAGGGGAACACAGAGCAGCACCAGCTCACCCTCATCAGCCAGCTCTGCGGATCCATCACACCAGAGGTGAGGGCGAGGGCGTGGGTGAGCTGCGGAGGGCGGGAGGAGAGGGGTGTGCAGCAGTGGTGTGGGCAGGGACTGGGCACTCCTGAGCTTCTTCCCTGCTCTGTGTGCTGGCTGCTGTGCACTCCTGGCACTGGAGTGTGTCCGCTGCCAGCAGGGACGCTGGGGAAGCTCCTGCTGATGCCATTTGCCTCCTTGGGAGCCAAGTGCATAGTGGGACGCTGCGCTTTCCTTGCTGCTCTGTCTGTACTACAGCTGGCATGTTACTTATGCTCAATCTGCTGAGGAGAAGAGGGTGAGCTTGGCCTCCCAGATCTCCTTTGGGGGGGGTGAAACGTGTCTTTGGTTTTGCAGCAGGGAGGCTGGGGAAGCTCCTGCTGATGCCATTTGCCTCCTTGGGAGCCAAGTGCATAGTGGGACGCTGCGCTTTCCTTGCTGCTCTGTCTGTACTACAGCTGGCATGTTACTTATGCTCAATCTGCTGAGGAGAAGAGGGTGAGCTTGGCCTCCCAGATCTCCTTTGGGGGGGGTGAAACGTGTCTTTGGTTTTGAGGACAGGGAGGATGCTGGCAGCTCCGAGTGTGAAAGAACAGAAACTGATGTGTGGGAATCGCCTCCAGCCTGTGCTTGGAGGTTCTCTCAGATAAACACATGTGAATTTCTGCTTTCAGAAGAGTTCTTTTGTTGGGGGGTTTGTCTCAGGTGCTTTGCACTGGTCACCATGAGAAGCCTCTTTAATTCTAGCTTGTAATTTCTGGCGTTAGCTGCGCCCTGATGCAAGTGCTCAGCCCTTTCTCAGCTCTGTATTTAACAGCAGCTTGTCCTGCCCTCTCATGTGGGATCGAGCTGAGTGATCTCTTGACTGGGGCTGTAACCTAAGGCAGGTGGTTGTGCAGGCAGCTGCAGACGCCTGTTACATGTATTACATACATACATTAAAGCTGCTTTCTTTTGTATCTAAATACCTGCTGTGGTCTCTCCCAGAGCAGGGTTGAGGTAAGTGCTGGTGACTGCAGCAGGCTTTGCTTTCTAAGGATAAAAGGTGCCACATGCATCCAGGTTTTTATTTAGCAATAAGTTTTGTCACTTTACCTTTCTGGATGTTGTAGCTGGCCTGAGCCATGCTCTCTAGTAGCTCTTTTGTGGGAAAACCAGAAATCCTGGAGCATCCTGCATGCCATTCCTACACCAGGAGGACTCTGTCCCAACTTGTCCATGTGTCTCCAGGCTTTAGTGCGCTATTTAGTGCCTCCTTCACGCTGTGGGAACCAGGTCTGCTGGCTTGGAGGTTATAAAATAGTATTGTTCTCTGAGCAGACCTCGCCCTGGTTTGCCTGAGGGTGTTAGCATCAAAAATAGCTTGTCCTCTCCTTAACAATTTCTTCACAACCTTCTCTCTTCCTGCCCTTCCCCAGGTTTGGCCAAACGTGGATAAATACGAGCTGTACGAGAAGCTGGATCTGCCCAAGGGCCAGAAGCGCAAGGTGAAGGATCGCCTGAAAGCCTACGTCAAAGACCCCTACGCGCTCGACCTCATCGACAAGCTGCTGGTGCTTGATCCTGCCCAGCGGATCGACAGTGATGATGCACTGAACCATGACTTCTTCTGGTCAGACCCCATGCCCTCGGACCTTAAAAACATGCTGTCCACCCACAACCAGTCCATGTTCGAGTACCTGGCCCCACCACGCAGGAGGGGTGGGCACATGCCCCAGCAGCCGGCTAACCAAGGCAGGAACCCGGCTGCCACCAACCAGACTGAATTTGACAGGGTGTTTTGAGCGGGGGCTTCCTCAGCGGGGTCCCAGCTGGGCTACTCCGCAGGTTGTGTTGGGCAGGGATGTCTTTGTATCTGGGAAAGGACTTTCTTCAAGGTGAAGTGTCTGCTGGCTTTCAGCGAGCTCTGCCGTCTCCTGTCCTTACGCAGCAGCTCAGCCACCGTAGAGCTCTCAGCGTGTCTGGGGAGGTGATGCCTCTAAGCCCAGAGTTGTTTCCTTGCAGCTTTACCACAGAGACTGTGTCCCCCGTGCAGTTTCTGTTGTTTACATTAAGCTTATGGATTGTCATGGACCTGGTGATGGAGAAAGTGGCTCTGTCTTGGCAAATGGTGCTGTGACCGGCAGGACTGGAAATAGCTGCCCTGGACCAAACTGGGCCCTGCTGGGAGATGTCTCAGCTTCTCGTGGTTGGTCGTAGCTCCTGCACAGCCTACACTTTGAACAACAAAGCGTTGATGTGTGATGTGGCAGGTGCTTCTGAGTAATGTGCAGGTGTCCTGGGGAAGGCAGAGTCACTCTAGACAGCATGACTAACTCTGGCTGGAGTTTGGGCTCTAGCCTAGAAAAGGGCTTACTGAGCAAAGCAGAGGGGTGGCTGGCAGAGCTGGTTGCTCCGTACAGCCAGGATTCACAGTGGGAATCGTCGGTCTCTGTAGCAGCACGCGGCCTCCATGCTTTCTTCATTGCAAAGCACAATGAGGAGCCTGGTTGGATGCACCCAGCTTGCTGTGTGCTTCCCCTGCAGCGCTGGCTGTGGAGGGAGTCTGGATGGGGAAGGGAGCTGCAAGTGCTGGCTGCAGCCTGGGGTGAGACCTGCCATCCCGCTGTCTGCAGGGGTTTCAGGGATTTTGGGAACACTGTGCTGCGAGCAGAACGACTCTTTAAACACTTGTGTGTCCACTCCTCTGTCTTGGAGCATTTTGCATGGGTCTAGAGCAAGACCTGCTGCCTTCCCTAGACACAGCGACCACCCCGGTGTGCTGTGACAATGTCCATGCACCTTCTGCCAGAGCTTGCCAGGACCGGCTCCTACAGAGCGAGCGCTTCTTCACAACCTGCCGCAGCGCAGCTGCTCGCTGAACACTTTGTCTTCCACGGCTGTCAGCTGCAGCTGGCCATCTTCTCGGTGAGCCCCGAGACTTTCAGACAGATAATGTGTACGACACGCAGCCTGCGATAACCTTTGGCGGTTGATAGGTTGTCCGTTAACGAGCCACGTCGGTAGCATAAGGTCTCTTAGGGAGGAAGCGGTGGTGAGCAGGGCTGTTCTCAGGACAGAAAGTGAGGATGATCAAGGATGTCTACAAGGTAAATCTCTTTTTAGCTCCAAAACCATGGCTGGTTGTGGGGGGGGGACTTGGTTTCGTTTAAAAAAAAATATGAAATTGGTTGCAAGCAATAAGCCAGTTGACTTCTGCCAGTTGTCAATAAACACGATCCTGTCCCATGAGCTGCTTTTAACCTCGTGTCCATCTTTTTCCCCAACGGAGAGAGCCGTTGGAGCGCTGTGGACAGCAGTGTAGTGAGGGGTTAGGCCAGGTTGGGGTTCAGACAGGTGACTCCCCTCCCCGCTGCTCCCCTCCCGGGGGTCCCCGGCTCTGTCTGACGAGGAGGCTCAGGGCAATTAGCGCTGCGGTGGATTAACGAAGCAGCACGAGCAGAGGAGGCTGTTGGGAGCGGCCCGGTGGCACCGGGGGAGGGTGAGTGTGCGGTGCCCACC